TGTACTCTGCTCCCGAGTCTCCGCACTCTCCGTGCAAAAACAAAATCCTCTAGCAAACAGAGCCCCTAATCCCAACGGTTTCAAAGTCCGACCGCACGTCCAGCAGCGCTGTCAAAACAGTCCCCAAAAAACTGAAAAAATCAACCACAGTTCTGCCACAGTTTTGGCAGCTGGCCCGATGGACGGTGACGGCAGGAAAACAGCTCGAGCGGCCTGCCACAGGTCTGGCAGCTGTGGCATAGCAGTTCTGGTGGCCGGCCAGTGATCTGATGACAGCCTTGTAGTAGGTCCAGCCACGTAAGAGCTCCGATGGCCCATGGCGAAGCACTGCAGGTGGTTTGTGACACGCAGGCCGTGCTGGTGTGGCAGCTGCAGGCAGTGGAAATGATGGTGGTGTAGCAGCCACTGGGGGTAGATTGGACGGTGATGCAGCAGCAACAGGTAGGTAAAGTGATGGTGGCGGTTGAGCAGGTGAGGTCTCCAACATCATAGACACAGGAACAGCAGCACAATGCAGAAACAAACACATATCATATAACAAGAGTCATAAATGCTCATGGACCCTGGGTCGCTCAGACCCAGGTCCTGGACAGAGAATCTGTTTTTCATTCATATCATGTCAAATGGCTGAATGACAGTGAAGCTGAGTCTGAGCTCTCTTCTGCTTTAGTCATTTGTGGCACAAATTTAAAAAGTTTCTGGAAACATCCCTCAGAGGTTTTGGTCCATGTTGACATGACATCATCACACAGCTGCTCCAGATCCATGATGTGAATTTCCTGTTCAACCATATTACATTCAACTCAGTTCACTTTTATTTATACAGAAAAAACAACAACAGTTGCCTCCAGGTACTTTATATTGTAGAGTAAGAACCTTATGATAATAAAGAGACAAAAGAGAAACTCCAACAATGACATGTGAGCAGCACTTTGGCGACAGTGGGAAGGAAAAACTCCCTTTTAACAGGAAGAAACCTCCGGCAGAACCAGGCTCAGGGAGGGGCGGGGCCATCTGCTGTGATTGGTTGGGGTGAGAGAAGGAAGACAGGATAAAGACATGCTGTGGAAGAGAGACAGAGGTTAATAACAGATATGATTCAATGCAGAGAGGTCTGTTAACACATAGTGAGTGAAGAAGAAACACCCAGTGCATCATGGGAATCCCCGGCAGCCTACGTCTATTGCAGCATAACTAAGGGAGGATTCAGGGTCACCTGGTCCAGCCCTAACTATATGCTTTAGCAAAAAGGAAAGTTTGAAGCCTAATCTTGAAATTAGAGATAGTGTCTGTCTCCTGAATCCAAACTGGAAGCTGGTTCCACAGAAGAGGGGCCTGAAAACTGAAGGCTCTGCCTCCCATTCTACTTTTAAATACTCTAGGAACAACAAGTAGGCCTGCAGAGCGAGAGCGGAGTGCTCTAATAGGGTGATATGGTACTGTGGGGTCATACATACTAAGTATGATTTAGTCTGATGCTTGCAGTGTTAGTGCAAACAAAATGGAAGGAAACAATAATCAAAGCAATCTGGATTCTTCCAGCAGTGTCACTAACACAGATGTAGTGATGGACAGGTGTGACACAGATGTTTCTGATGCCCCTCGTGGTTCTGTCAGGACATCATTAGAGTGACATGAAAACCTTCAGATGTTATGATGTTACTCTTTCAAACCCTTTCACCACCCTCTCTCTCCCTCTGGAGGTGGTGCTCTCTCGGCCTCCCTGCGGCTCCTCGTTCTGCTCGAGCAGGCCGCTCAGGTGCGCTCAGGTGCTGCATTATTCACACCGAGCCCGGGGGCTCTAATTAAACCCTGGAGAGAATTGGAATCGTATGCCCTTTTGTTTAAGTGCGCTTTTCACTTCTCTATGTGCACGGCGCTGTTGTACTACCGTGGCAGTATAATCATGGTCAAAACCGATGGGTTTGTCTTTGACGAGGATCTTCTTCTGCCATGCGTTTCTGAGGACGGTTTCCTTTGTTTTGAACGGAAGAAAACAGACGACAATGGAACGGAGAGCGGCATCAGCACCTGGCTTAGGACCGAGGGATCGGTGAGCCCGTTGTATTTGTGGGTCAGTGCCATCAGGTATTAGCCTCTCTCTTCTGATCACATTTTCAACAAAGCTCATTACCGAACTGCCCTCTTCTCCTTCTCCTTCTCGATCTAGACTGAAGGTCTTCTAGCCTTTCAGTTAGTTTCCTTTGCTCCATTAGCGATTGTCTCAGCGCGTCATAGGCCACCACTGACCAGCTTTCAAGCCCCGCCACTCGTGTTTCGGCTTCCTCGAGTTTCTCGCCGTGTTCTTGGAGCGCTAGCTTGTTAGCCGATAGCTGTTGGTTTGTGTCTTCTTTGAATTTCTTTAGGTCGTCTTTCAACTCACGCCTGAGGTCTTCTTTGAATGCGTCGAAGTCAGCTTTCATCTCCGTCCGGAGGTCAAAGATTTGTTGGCTGATATTTTTAATGCCCTCTTGCAAAGATTCGAGATTGGCCCCCTCGCCATTTTCTTCATCTGACACACAGACACAGTTACTCCTGAGCTCCTAATTGTCCCTCAAACCTGATTCAGGGATCCACTCCTCTACTTCACTGTCCTCACTTTCTGAGGACAGAAAGTGCACATTCCCTTGGTTTCCCTCCATAAAAGGTTTTTTACATCCATGTCCTGTAATTATGAGTAGATTGTAAAGTAATAAACATTGACTATGATCATATAAATGCACACAAACACATCTCTACACGCAAATGCAAATGCATTACTGTATATTGCCTGAAAAAAATTGGGCTAACTGCACAGTGTTGTCTTGAGGCAACAAATGAAAATTAACAGTTTTACTGTATAAATAAATTTTAGTGGCTACAGGAAGAGGGTGATAGACTGTCTGAAGCAGTTAGAACAAGACAAGGCTATTGACCGGACCTCATACCACAGGCTGTACCCAGGGGAATCTACACCAACCACTATGGTTTACCAAAAATACATAAACAGGGTGCACCTTTAAGACCAATTGTCTGCATGATCAACTCAGTCACCTATAACATCTCCAAGTTTCTGGCTTCAATCCTCAACCTGCTGGTGGGCAGCTCTGAACACCACACTCAGAACACCTGGAAGTCAAGGTCAAAACCTTTTTTTAATGTAAAAGTGTTTTCGGAAATATTATTTTGTTGTTGATGTTGTAAATGTGATTTGCACTTCCCAGCCACCGTAGGAATCATACTTGTTATTAATCTCTGTCTCTCTTCCACAGCATGTCTTTATCCTGTCTTCCTTCTCTCACCCCAACAGGTCGCAGCAGATGGCCCCGCCCCTCCCTGAGCCTGGTTCTGCCGGAGGTTTCTTCCTGTTAAAAGGGAGTTTTTCTTCCCACTGTCGCCAAAGTGCTTGCTCACAGGGTCATATGATTTTACCTTACAATATCCTGGGGGCGATCGTGGCTCAAGAGTTGGGAATTCGCCTTGTAACCGGTTTGAGCCCCGGCTCGGACAGTCTCGGTCATTGTGTCCTTGGGACACTTCACCCACCGGGCCCTCTGCCTACCGCTGGCGCCAGTGTTCGGCAGCCTCGCCTCTATCAGTGCGCCCCAGGCTACAACGTAGCTGCCATCACCAGTGTGTGAATGGGTGGATGACTGGATGTGTAAAGTGCTTTGGGGTCCTTAGGGACTAGTAAAGCGCTATATAAATACAGGCCATTTACCATTTACAATATAAAGCACCTTGAGGTGACTGTTGTTGTGATTTGGTGCTATATAAATAAGATTAAATTGAATTGAATACAGATGCCTGCAAAATACTATCGTCCTCATTTTAGGTTTGACAGCATTTCTAGTAGATAATGGCTTGAGATTGAATTGAGGCTGTGGTTTGGGGAAGGCCTCAGAGGGGACTGGAGGCAAGTCCCAGGCTGTGCAGATACTAATGAGAAGTGAAAGGCTTGAAAAGGCGAGATGGGTGGGGCATGGAAACAATAATGAACAGGTTATAGTGCCTGTTATAGGTTATAGGGCAGGCGACATATATAGACATAGGAGAGGAAGTGACGTGTATGGAGGTGTGGTCCCACTCCTGAAATTCAGATCAATTATAACTGCAGTGTTCAGTCTGGGTCATTATTATGTATAAAGTCTGAAGTCACACATAAATGCTGGATCTGGTAACATTTTAACAGGAAACCACAATTCCAGGTTCTACCAGCACACTTTATCAACAAAGTGACATTAACCACTGATTTCTGGACTTTACAGTTTTTCAAACCTCAACCTTGAAATTTTGTTTTGTTAACATTTAAAGACTAACCACCCCTGCATTTTTAAAATATGCGGTCAGTTTTATTATACTTGGCTTCTAGTCTACTTCCTTAAGCAACATCTGCCTCTAGATGAACTTGTTCTGCTCCTCTGTCTTTCCCATCATATATTTTGTGTTCTGGTGGTGGATGTTCATGTGAAACATGGTTTAACATCTTTTATTTTACATTTTTAATAATAATGCCAGTGCATGTAAGCTAAAAGCTCAGGCTACTCGAAACACTCAAATTTGCAGTTTATTTGGTCCTTGGAGTTTAATGTCATACAGAGCAGATGTGAACACAGAAGCCCCATAACCTACTGGCAACACAGTCTACTCATATTGTGTCACAAAGGCCCAGAGACCTGTAGGAAACCATTGAACCACCAATCATTCCCAACCCGTTGTAAGTGCTTGGTGATTAGCTGCTATTGCCCTGTCATGCTGGCCTAGAGACCGGTCCTTAACCCCTCGCCAACCGCCCATTGCTATGCCAACGTGTAGATTCTGCAAACAGCTGATGAATGGTTTCTGGAGAGTACTGGTAGCTATCAGTATAATATGTTTACATATTTTTAAAATCACCATCACATATATGTTATTGTTTTTATTTGTTATCAAACTGTATCAATGCAGTATGTTGTGAAAAAAAACGTGTTAAGATAACTGATCGAGTCTGTTTGGAAAAGCATCACAAAGTCTCAACATGATTATTTCTAATATTTATTCATTCAAAGAGAAAGAACCATCACTGCTTTTCAATTTGTTCGTGTCTGCCTTTCCTCCACAAAACATCCAGACATTTTTATTTTTAGTCTATCAGCATCGAGGCTTCTCACCCTCTGTGCCGGTATTGTTGACAAAGAGGCTTTTGAGGAAGAGTAGCTGCAGGTACCCAGAGGTGACGATGAGGAGGCTGAGGGCCATCGACCACCAGGTGATGTACTTTGAGTTGGACTGCAGCAGGAAGTAGTCTACGCTCTTTCTCATCCGACTGAAGCCGTAGTGCCGGAACATGTGAAAGACGTAGGTCTCCACTTTGTGGGTCGTAGTCTGACACAGCAGAACAGACGCAGGTATAAAAATCTGTTTATTCACTTTTGATGTGTCAAACTCCAACAATCCCGCCTCTGCTACCAGTTACTGTTTTTAATTCATTTTGTGAAACACTTTGAACTTAAGTGTGAAGTTTAAATACATTTGACTTGTTTTGGCTCACCAACTGCTGTCAGTACTGCCACAGACACCACAACACTATAACAACTGTAACAGCAGGTAGCTATGTGTACCTCGATGACGCTCAGTGTGTTGTTCAGCTCTTTGCTGATCTCCTCCTTCTTCTTCTCCTCCTCCTCGCTCTTTGAGGGATCTTGGTAGGTGTCATAGTAAACACCAAAGCTGAGGGAAACCTGCATCGAGCCGAAACGGTTGTGGAAGTTGCTGAAGCACATCTGATAGAAACCTGGAAGTAGACAAGTCAAGATGTTTTTCTTTTTTTTTTCCATATAGCACAGTTAAAAGTAACACAGCAAACACAAAATGTTTTCCAGTTAAAGCAAACCTATTACGTATCGCAGAATCCTGTGAAAATTGAGTTTATCCTTAATGTTTCCATAGGAATTAAAATCAGTTGTATTTGATTGGTGTATCCAACGGCAGATGTGAGAACCTTTGCAAATGCAGACGTTTTTGCAGTTTGCTGGTCTGCAGCATTCAGTTGTGTGTTAACACAATGCTACAATCATCTCAGGAGTGGATGTTCCAGCAAATTCAACCTAAGACCATCCAAACGCTCAGAAAAACTGCAAAACCCCAAGAATTCTCATTCTCAGACTCTACAGGCCTCATGTTAAATGTTAAAGTTCATGAGAGTACAAATAGAAACAGACGGAACAAGTGTGACTTGTTTGGAAGGGTTACCAGGAGGAAGCCTCTTCTCTTTAACTGAACATTGCAGCAACGCTCAGGTTCCTTTGGACAGACAAAACCAAAGTGGACATGTTTGTCCATAAAGGAGAAAACGAAACACGTCAGACCAGCTGTCAGCACTGTGGTGGAGGGATGATGATCTGGGCTCCGTGCAGTGACTCAGTAAACCATGAACTCCTCTGTATACAAATGTATTCTAGAGTCAGATGTGAGGCCATCAGCCACAGGACGATGATACCAAGAAGAGTGCCAAACCTCCAAAAGAAAAAGAATCAAAGTGGTGCAATGCTCCAGCCAGTCCAGACCGCAGCCTGACGGAGAAGCTGTGGTGGGACCTTCAGAAAACGGTGCCGAAACCGACTGAAGAGTTGAGTCTCAATGATGAGACTAATAACATCTACAGAAGCGGTCCCCAACCCCCGGGCCTCGGACCGGTACCGGTCCGTGAGTCGTGTGGTACCGGGCCGCGAGAGTTGAGGCTCAGGTGTGAAATGTATGGTTTTCAGGGTTTTTATCGGTTTTCAGTGTTATTTTGTTATCGTTTTTATCGTTTACTCGGTTTTCCTGGGTCTTTCCACGTGTGTTATGAATAAATTTTCTTTTTTTCGGTACCGGTACTAGTTTTATTTTGTTGTATTTATCCGCGACACCTTAAAGGCCGGTCCGTGAAAATATTGTCGGGCATAAACCGGTCCGTGGCGCAAAAAAGGTTGGGGACCGCTGATCTACAGGGTGCACGCACGAGGCATTGACGATGACGTGACAATGAGCAGTGACAAATAAATAATGACAGGATGAGAAACAGGTGAAAACATGGCTGGAAGAAACTAAAGAAACAGGAAGTACACTCCACATAACGAGCACAGGACAAAAGACTATCATAATAAAACAGGAAACAGACACAGGAAAACTAAACACTAACAAAATGTCCAAACTTAAAACACTGGCACCACCCAGGCACCATTACAGAAAAACATGATGAAAATTAGAAGATTTTATTGAACATTTCTGTAAAACTCCTGCAGGGTGAGATGCAGTGGGACGACCTGTATCATGAGAATAAAAGATGAAATCTCAATGGAAATCTCAAATGCTAATCTACCAGCTAACGCTAACAAGGTGTTTTTGTGTTTTAATAATTATTTGGCTGCTCACCTTTAAAACATGTATCTCTCTGACTTTACATCCTCTACGAGAGTTTGTGTTGTATCAACATTTAATGTTAAAGTGAATATCTAGACATAATTTCCTACAATCTGTTCATCGCATTCAGCTGAAGTGAAATAACAGCATGGAAGAGCTATCCATCAGACAGACAGCTACCTGATTCTGCAGCCTCAAAGTTGATCTGGCCCTTCGCATCATCAACAGTAGACAGCAACAGATCACTCGGAGTGTTGACGGTGACAGACAGGTGTCTGTCATGGCCGACTCCCATCACCCACTGGACCTACAAAACCAATACAAAGTTAAAAACCATACAGAGCGTCCACACACTGCAGGAACGAGCAGCAGCAGCTCTGTCAGTGTAAAATATCCTGTTTGATGTTACCACTGTGAGCTCTTTTCAACAGATGGTACCGATGCTGGTGTCCATGCTAATCTGACATTTGTGGGAAAACAGACTACATGTCAGGTGGCGTCACTTAGCTTGACACAGAGTTTTCTTCTTACCATGAAGTTCAAGTAAAATCTCTCTCCACGGTGAGCAAAGTGCCAGAAACACTCCAACCCAGCAGCAGGAAGCACTATAGCAAAGTCGTACTGGTCAGAACCCCAGAACAGCTCCTGGTCTGTGACGTCGGGGCGGGCGTTTGTCTGGGGAACCCCATGAGCTGAGCCCCAAAATAAAAAGCCCAGAAAGAAGCAGGGAATCCAGCACAGCATGTCTAAAACATGGAAGGGTGAGAGTAGAGTCTGTGCTGCAGTTAGATCAAAAATGATTAACCAGCCCTGAAATGTTTCCTCCTCTGCTGGGAAAACTGGACAGGCTGCACAGATGGAAGCACTGCTGATAGAGAGGAAAACCCTGCAGGAGGGAAACTCTCCAGGTGATCCAAACAAATGAACCTTGAAACTTCCACAGACAGATCCCGACATCCTGTGGAGGTTTGGACCACCGGTTCAGTAATATTTGACCATGTGGTGGATGTACATTTAGATTATTCTCATGGCCGTCATTTCAACATTTACATGAATCCATTGATCCACTGGTGAACAGGAAACAGCAGACATATGCCAACAGGAGAGTGGGTGTAGTGCTGAGAAGATGGTCTGATTGATGTTTTACATGATAAAACTTGTTTCCATTCTAGACAAAGATCATAAAGAGAATACAAACAGTATTGTTTAAATGATGGTTTCATTTATAAAGCGAAAAACTTTCCCCAAACCTGCCCTGTGTGCAAAAGTAACTGCCCCCTAAACCTGATCACTGGTTGTTCCACCCTCTGCAGCAGGAAGTGATCAGTGCTGAGCAGTTAAACATAATTAACTATCAATGAAATCATGTATGAATTATGATTCTGTGATTAACATACACTTCATATCACTTCTCATTTTCAAAATCATGTCGTTTAGCTTTGAAATGTCTGCATTTGTGAATAAAACATTCTCTTAGTAACAACATTTATTTAGATCCAACCATGCAAAATATGATTTTTGCCATTTTTCAAGTGGTCTTAAAGCTTTAATCAGGACTGTATCTGATATCACTTCAGTTTAATGTGAAAAAGCTGCATCAGTGTTTTGCTGGGATGCATCTGCTCCTCTGGCTTTCCTGTTAGCAGTGAGTGCATCGATGTCACAGAGGTTTTAGTGCAGCATAAACTCCAGCACATATTTTTGTCACTCTGGAGCACATTTCAGGAAAATAACAAGAAGTAAATGAAGGAAAGCGACAGAAGCCGACAGGATAAGACGAGCGTCATATCTGAGACAATAACCAGGGCCGGACCGTTTCTGACAGCTGCATCATTTTTATTGTGCAACAACACAGCAGCAGAGGACGGTTTGATTTGGTCTTGGGAATAAATCACTACTGGAAATCACAGGACTCAGATCAACACACGTCTGCTGTCCAGAACCAGGACGACGTGCTGAGATCACGGTGGGCGACAAATGTTCATCAGCAGAACGATGAGACAGAAACACAGAAGAGCCGTTTGGAAAGGCAGGAGGTACAGTGCTAACAGGCTGCAAGAAATATAAATACAGACTCACGTCTGTCTCTATCAGTACTTATCATGCAAAAGATACGACACACATGTGTGCAAAGAAGTGTCCAGGTTCATCCTGACCATCAACCTTTCTGACTGAAGGGCATTTCTGCCAGCAGAACTTCAGATATAAGCAGTGACGTGAGATATAAGACAATAACACTATCAGTCATGGTCTGGCAGTCCCAGAGCACAAAGCTCAGCAGGACATAAACAGCGTGGAGTCATCAACATCATCAACAGAAGGCAGAAGAGCTTTGAATGTCCTTCAAGAAGTCTGGAGAAGTGTTCCTGCAGGTCCTCACAGAGACGCCAGAGAGCTGCTCAGAGAGTTCAGAGAGAGCTGAAGGATGAAGGTCAGACCATAATATTCCTCCAAAAGTGCCTTCATGGACCTGCAGCCGAAAATAGAAACCGATGCAAAGTGTTTATGCAGGTGAGAGAAGTTCACCTGAGGGCTCTTATTCAGCGTGCATGCCGAGCGCTGAGAGACGGAGGTTGTGCTGCAGGCAGACGTTTGGACGGCGACTCAGACTTCTCTTCTAGATGTCGTCAAATATTTGTCTACGAGATGACGACGAGACAGGTACCGTCCTCCTGAGTGCACAAAAACACACAAGTGAACACAGCAGCACACAAATCCACACGTCTGTGGACACGTCAGTGCCTGCAGACACTTTAGAAACGGCTGTGCTTCACTCCAACACTGAGGAAATGAACAAACTGACAGTTAACAATATGGAAAAATAAAAGGATCTCTCTGCTGCTGAAAAGTGTGAAATAGCTAAATGCCTTGGACACGTAGTGAAAACCTGAGATATTTCATGAAAACTTATCGTGATCACCGCAACGTTAGGAGATCTGTGGCTGAGTCAGAGCACACACGGGTTCGTGCAGATAAAGGCACAACGAGGAAGGTTTCTGCAGGACAAATACATCCCATTAAGAGAGCAGCTGCTAAAAGGCCATTACAAAGCAGCAAACACATATTTGAAGCTGCTGGTGCCTCTGGAACCCCACCAACATCAAGGTGTAGGACATTTTGGACAATCGACAATCTTCTAACACAAAAACATACAAGTGTTCACTGAAGTAAACACACAGAGCAGTAGCAGATTTTTTTAAATGTGTTTTATTTATTTTCATTTGCTGCTAACTGCCTTGTTTTCATTTGTAGTTTTTGTAGTAGGAAGAACTACAAAATCTACAAATAAACAAAGAGCAGTTAGCAAATGTAGTGCTCTCCACTATGTGAAGCCCTCACATGAATTTTTAGATTTTTCAGTTCAAGCCAATTAAATGAAATCCAAAAATTCAGCCCCAACAATCAAATGATCCCCTATGAGCAAGCACTCTGGCAACGGTGGAGAGGAAAAACTCCCTTTTAACAGGAAGAAACCTCTGGCAGAACCAGGCTCAGGGAGGGGCGGTCTTCTGCCATGACTGGTTGGGGGGTGAGGGGCAAAATTAAATAAAACATAAAGGAGAGCATAGCGTATTTATGACAGATGCTCGAATCCCGCCTGAGGTGGTATGGACACCTCACTCTTGTTCCCGTACCGCTGGGCGCTGAAGATTTTCCACAGTTTGTCTGAGTTCTGCCATCTCTTGCCTGAGTTGTGTGTTTTCTCGACAGAGTCGTGTGTTTTTTTGAATGTGTCGTGTGACATCGTTACGGAGTTCTATGTGTTCTTTACTGAGTACTATGTAGTTTTCACTGAGTTGTGCGTTTTCTAGCTCGAGTTGTGCGTTTTCTAGCTCGAGTTGTGCGTTTTCTTGACCGAGTTGTGTGTTTTCTCGACCGAGTCGTGTGTTTTCTTGAGTGTGTCGTGTGACATCGTGACTGAAGTCTATGCACATTTCATTGACTCGTGCGAGTTCTTTGGTGAGTCGTGCGTTTTCTTTCCTGAGCTGTGCGTTTTGATGACGGAGTTCGTCTAACGGAGCTGCTCTTGCCTGTGACATTTTTGTAAAGGTTTAAAGCTGAAGGGTGTCAAAGGGTAGCTGTGTCTCAAACAACTGTCTCTTTCTGCTGTAAACTGTTGAACGAGCTCCTATTTATAGACTCGGTGGGCGTGGCAGAGAATGCGATGTCGCTGTGACAAAACAATGATCCTTTGATCTTCTCAAAGGATCATTGTGATGTCGCCGTGACGTCACGATGATCGTTCGAGAAGATCAAAGGAGCGCTGTGGGTCATTCTGCGCATGCTCAGATCAATGAACGGGAGAATTATTTGTAAATACTTTGCTAGCTAACAAAGGTGCTTTTAGCAACAGCTGGTGGTGGTTCGTCGCTATCAACCCTTAAACTCGTGAACTGGCTCTCTAGCTTTTCGATTGCTACTGTTGTCTATCACATATGTATTATTTGGAACCCAGCTTACCTGTAAAAACAGACACACAGCAGGTAACAGGAACTACTCGGTGCGCCAGCTCGGCACCACTAGGCTGTGTCCCAATTCAGGGTCTGCACGCTTGAAGTACGCGCACTACGCACGGTGCGTACTATAAGTATGAGAAGTGCGGAAGTGAGAGGCTTGTGAAATAGGACGGTCTTGCCTTCGTCGCGCTGCTCAGGTTGCCTAGCAACCATGATACTAACCGCGAGAAACGTGTCATACAGCTTTGTGTGACAGAAACGAAGGAGAACATGTTTTGTTCATTTGAGACCAAAGGACCGTAAAACATGATTGTTGGGCTTCATTCCTGTGCTGAACAGTCATTTAAGATTAGCTAGTAAATAACAATTAGCTGATGTTGGTCATGAGACTAAAGTCATCTCACTGTGGTAATGTAAATATAATATGGCCAATATTAAAGTTATAGTCAGATTATTATGATATATTACAGCAGTGAGCTTGAACAGTTGTTTATATGTCCTATCACCTTAAATCTTCACTCAAAGACGAGTATCTGTGACAGTGTGTATACAGATGTGTTATATATAAGAGAAAAATATTGTTCGTTTAATACGTTGGCATTATTACATTTGGCTCCATGCTTACATACATGTGTATAAAGCAAATGTACGAGCTGTGATAACTGTGTCTGATAGAATGAAGAGTAGACTGATATATGAAATATTCCTTTATTGGGTGAGAAAATCAGACCATGTCATAACTGCTGTAAGTCACACAGAATAGACATCAGAGCCTTAAACAGGCTGACGTCTGCTAAATGGGTCAAACTGGGCAGAAAGTCTACAAACACATAACATCCTTATAGAATATGATGTAACACTATAGATCAACTTAGCTCAGAATATATAAAGCATATAAACAGTTACAGCAATATGATGCAACAAACACAGCAGCTACTGATCCAAAATACTCAAAGCTTCATAGAACTGAAACCAACATTTATTTTAGCTCCATTCTGCTGCTGATACAGACTTTAGGTTTCTGAACATTAAACTTGTTGCTGCCTTTCATGGTGTGTAACTTGAAGGCCCTGAGTACTCTGAGTACTTTCTCCCACACTGGAAACACTGGGATGATCACATTATGTGAACATTACCTAATAAGACTGATTCAGTACAGACAGTTCTGTTAAACTTTCCTAGCAGTCCTTCACAAACAGGGAACAGTCTGTCTATTCTCTCCATCTGTCAGCTGCTGCTGGCTCTTCCTCCTCCTCTTCCTCACACACTGCCGAGTTTGTCCTGGTGGATCATCAGGGCTGCAAAGCCTC